GTCACTTCTCGCGGACACTATCTCGACGTCCGAATCGGAATCAATGGATGACTTTCGCGACATATCATCCGAATCTTCAGTTCTCTTCACTTTACTTTTGGGTCCAATTTTAGGCCGTTTCGGCAAATCATCCAAATCTTCATCACTTCTCTTCACTTTGCTTTTGGGACCGATTTTAGGTTTTGGCGGCTTTTGTGGCAAACCATCCGAGTCTTCAGTTTTCTGGACTTTACTTTTGGGTCCGATTCGCGGTTTTTGTCGCACTTCCACCGACTCTTCCGGTCTCTTCACTTTACTTTTGGGACCAATTTTAGGCTTCGGTTTCGGTGTCGACGTCGAAGAGGACGAGCCGTTAGGTCCGCCTTTGGGCTCAACTCTGTGTCAAAGAAAACCAATAAAACAAAACACAATTAACACCACAAACAAGACATCGACGCCACTGTCACCCGTGACTGACATCACGATGTCGTTGTCCCTCACGATCTCCATATTTTCAGAGGCCGTGAGCGCGAAGTCTTCGATGAAGAGATCGATTCCGTGTCTCAAATGAAACCGCTTTTCAATCAATTTCTTCAAACTTATCACATCCGGCGTCTCATTCCTCTTAACCAATAGCATCGAGTTCTTCAGCGACAGGTCGTTGAAGCCCTTGAACTCCAGTCGCAGCCGAAGATTGTCACCCATTCCTCCGCAGTAATCGGCAAATGAAACACAAACTCATGAATTAATTACTGAATCAAAACAAACGCATGTCTTGTCATAAAAGGGGACATAAATTATGTCTAATAAACGTCGATATTTTGGCCCCTTTTCGCACATAAATAGCTACGAAATACATGAAAACATATGCTTTACATACGACACGTATTTTATACGTGTTTTCGTTGTGCACTGAAAGTGACGTCAATTTGTGTGAAAATATGCGTTCATTTATCGCAAACTTTTTTATCACTAATTTTGTTCAATAAATCCAATTAAACGCAAATTACATGCAAACAAACGGTACACAAGTGTGTCAAACAACCACTTAATTAATGTCTGACTGTAACTGCGGTCCAAAACTGTGCGATAAGTGAGAAAAAGTGCAAAACGGAGACAAAAAGTTGCGGAAAAAGTCCACAAAACGTTTGCACGGATTGTCTCATTCATTGATACATTCATTGGACGACTGTTTTCATTGTAAATGATTTGCAATTAATTCTCGTCTCATATCTCGTCTCCGAAACCCATTTCACAACCAAATCGGCGCTCATTTGTCACAAACAGCTGTTCAAAGACATGACAACCGATGACAAGAGTAAGTACCACCGATGCCTCCCTCTTGAGTTCATTCACACCACTCAACTCATCCATTGTTTGTCTCT